GTGCCCAGTGCTGATATTCTCCAAATACACTGAAAATCACTCTTTTCCTAACTTGAAAATTTGGCATCTTTAAAGTTACACTGGAAGTCAAGACATACCTACATGAAGATTAAAGAACTGGCTTTTCTAACATGCAGATTTTATCGCATTGTTATGATGACGCTGCCATTTATTTTCAAGTAAATATAGTAGTTACTACTTATATGAAAAGGAAATACAATGTGAAAATGATGTTTGATGATTATAAACATGATTATTGTTTGTTACTTTACTATAGTCAGTTACAGAACAAAACATGTAGCTCTCTCTGGACCTCCCAATGTGACAATCTACAAAAAAACTTAGATTTCTGTTGAGATTAGGATTCTGGTTACTTAGTGAAAATATTTTATTCAAAAATTTAATTGGTTCTAAAAAATTTTTTAATTGACTCTGTCCTTCTTGGGAGGCCAGGGGGGTGGGGATGGTGGGAGGGGAGAGAGGGAATGGGGGAGAGTTCCAATTGTGCTTCTCAGATCTCCTTCCAGAATAAATTTTCTATCTCAAAAAATCAAGGACTTCTCTGAAAATGGCAGATAGCAGACAGCGCATTATCCTCAAGCTGGTGAATAGGATGGATTTTTCTCCCTAAACGTCCCTTCTGCTCTCCAGTTTGAATTATCAATAAAATGACTTGGCTTATCTCTGAAAATAACCTTGTTGACAACACAAATATGGACTTAAACACGCTACCTCCACATTTAAGATTTAAGAAGCCCCCAGTAAATGTCAGGGGGTGTCAGTATGTTTGCTGTGATACTTGGTTATTACTAGTGTTTAACTGCCATCCCCCACCAGCGCCATGCCGCCTGCCCACCATAAATTTTAATGTGATCATGTGCTCTACTCTTTTCATATCCAGTGAATTCTGCGGGATCATAATATTCTATATGAACCCTAGCTGAACCTTAGTGTGATATGAAGAAAAAACAAGATTTCTAGCAGTGATAGTTGTTCATCGTTTTATAGTTTTTTAAAAAACTGGACACTAGGCAACATGAATAATATTACCCTCAACTAAATCCACTCATTCAAATGCGTCTCTTTTGAAAGAGCCCTACAGGATGCTGGGCATGGCCCAAAGTGCTAATGAGTACATTTATGGGATAGTAAAGAACACTGACTCTTAAGGAAACCTTTTTTTAATCCCCCCTGGAGAATCTGTCAGAACTCATACATCATTTATAAAACGGAAAAATGTCTCCGCAACTTTGGCACTACCGCATACCTTTTATTCCACAGAATACAAACAAAAAAGCAGTCATTTTCCCTATCTGGTCTGCATTGTGAATAGGAGAGATGTGTTTCTCATTGTTCATTATGTATGTGCTTAATGGAATATTTGTTCTACAAGCTTCCATAAATAAAGAGAATTTGTATGATTATTCTTGATCTGCAGGTTTTTATTCCTTGTTTTAGCCCCAAATAGTAACTGTGCTGTATTTATCCAAGGAATTAAAAATATTTGGTAAATTCTAACTACTTAAATATCTCTTTAGAAGCAAGGAATAATACAGGAGCTTTCATTTCTAAATTGGGAATTTTAGCCCAGAGGTGTGGAATAAATTAGTAAGTCATTAGCCGGGTTCCCAGTGAACTAAATTTCCACCGTTTTATATCAAATTGCTTATTCTTCGAAGCAGTTCATTCTTTTCCCCCCTAAAGGAACAAAACCGATTTGCTACCTAGACATGAGGTTGAATACTTTTGCAAAACATAATTCTGAGTCAGTAAGTTTATTTTCCATGTTCAAAATGATTTTAGGGTTAAAGGTTTGGAAGCTGGTGTGTAGATTTACTACTTGCTTGTCCTGTTGTACACGGTGTCATAACTTGCTCAGCAGTGACACACAACTATGCATCTTCCCACTCTCAGAGACAATGGGCTTAGAAAAATACATACATGCACAGATACAAGGTCACATGGAGAATGTTATATTATTCCTGCTAACAGCTCTGTGGGCAAGGCAGTCATAATACAGTCTGACCTGATAGGAGGGGCTTTTTTTGGACACACTTGCTTTGGTGGTGCCTTTTTAAAGGAAAGAGTGTGGGAGTGTGTGATTCATTATCTCCTGTCCTAGAAGAAAAGAAGTACTTTCAGAGAAGGTTGGGAAGGTTGTTTCTCCTCCTTTCTTGGCAACTGGCTGGGAAACTTTGCCTTGGAGCGCCATCTAGAGGAAAACTCAGCATATGTGCGCCATGCTTTCTTGGCTTTGTGACTCAGACGGAAGGAATCTAGTGTCGGTTGGTGTATGGTAATTTTTTTTTTTTAAGAGAAAATTCTGTTTCTAACACAATACACGGAAATAGAATATGAGATAACTAGAATGGAAATATAATCACTGATGAGAACAGAACAGTGAAAGCCCCTACTAGTCTTCAGGAGTGTCTGAAGTGTTAATACCCATTCTTGGAAGTGAGTAGGTTATCATTTTGCCCATAAGCTGAGGTTGTATTCCAGAAGTTAGAACTGATGAGTAAATTAAATTCATTTTTTCTTCACTGATCAAGTAATCTTTTTTCACCTCCGTAATTATTTTCTTAGTTAAAAAATTCTTGTTAACCAGGTTGCCCATGGTCAAGTTGAAGAGACTGCTTGTGTTAGGTACAAAAGTTGATACTTTCAACCTATTGTAACCCTTAGGCAAGTTCAGCAAAATCTAATGAGCAGGAAATAATATCTTTTCCAGATGTGGCTTCTCAATTCAGTCTGAGGGAGAAAAAAATAACATTCACCAGTGTATTTTTTTCAAAGGGTGGGAACTTTAACAGAGAATTCTCCCCTTTTTGAGCTAGCATTAATACAAAAACAAAACCCAAACCTTCTCACACAGGGCTACTCTTCAAGGTTGCTGAGCAGACTTGCAAAAATAACTATACGCTTGAAATATTCTGGCAGTATGAATACCCCTGTTGTAATAACACAGCTTGAGAGTTCTCCTTTCTTCCAGTTCCTGAAAAGGATCAAGATTGTCTTTTGGAAACATATACTGAAGAAAACTGGGTATGTATTTCCTTTTACTCCTAAGTGCCCTCCCTGACCCCACTGCTCTTGCCAACTTACCCCACCCTGACTATTTCAAGGCTTGTCATAGAAGTCTGTTTCTGTCTTTTACATCTCTAACTTATAATAGCAAGGCCATTCCTTTTTTCCCTTCATTGAACAAGGCTCCCACTGACTTATTTTTGGCAAGTCACCATAAATCCATAGGTTCTCCAAAATAGCAGGTTAACAATTTCTTTATTGAATGTCTTCTGTGAGTCAGACACATAAACTCTGCACACAGAAAATGATTCCTTGTCTACTGAGATTTGATATGGAAAAGCAAGATGAAAGTGCGTTTTTTTTTTGTTTTGTTTTTTTTTTAGCAACATTGGCACTTGAACAATTAAGGCTAATAGTTCAAAGCGTCTTCCTCCCTCATTTGCCTGGCCGACTGCTTTCATGGGGTATGTTACAGAAGGACAGGGTCAGTCCAGTTTTTCCAGGCCAATCCGCTTGCTCCTTAAGCGGCTAAGGATCCAAAACAGATGTCCTCCAGTGTAAAAGTGAAGACATTTTGGTCCCATCTTCTCATGCTATTTGCACATTGGCGTTTAAGTTAACCTAACACACATCTGTTGAAAACCTACCAAGTGTACGAGGGCATGCAAAGTGTTGGCGAGGCCCTCAGCAAAAAAATGCCTTCATTGGGCAAACAAATGAATGTTGTTGAAAGAATAAGAAATGATCTCTTCGGCCTCAAGCTGCTGACTCTATAGCAAAATTAGCAACCTGTGCCTTAAGATACACAGAGGAAAGAAAGATACGTTGTACTAGTCACAGTGCAGAGATAGAAGTAATTATTGATGCTTGGGGAGATAGGGGAAGACTCTGGGAAAAACTGGCATGGATCAGTGCCTTCAAGGATGAGTAAAATTTTAATAGGCAGAGAACGGGACAGATCATTTCATAAGGAAGGAGCAGAACAGTATTTGCTCATTTGGCCAAAGAAAAATGTATATCATTTGGAGGTCCCTATTTTGGGTTTAAATTTCAGTGTGGGTACAAAGATGTAAGGTACTTAGATTTATGCTATAATAATTAAAACTTGTATTCTTTTCTATTTTATATGGTAAATATGTTTATACATACAAATATATGTACATATGTATATGTCTACATCATATGTGTATGTATAAAACCAAGAGGCCAGAGAAGCCAATATATTTAAGCCAGAAAACATTTTACTTGATTACAGTTTAACAGTATAAGTGGAAATAAGGCCAAAACAAGCCTTATTTCTTGCCAGTAAACGGAGATGAATAGAAGATTTGGTTTCAATCTTTGCCACAAACATTTGCTGTTAGTTTAAATTCCAAGGCTTACCTCTGGCCAGTGGCTCTAACCATCTCCAAAAACCAGACTACCACCTTCCCTGGGTGACAGCCCCTAGAACGGAGATTTTAAGCCTCGTGTGCCCCTAAGCCCTAACGGCATTTGCTCCTACTTCTTTCTTCCCTTGCCTCCCTGGGCATCTCACAGATAAGCGCTCTTTCAGGATTTCCATGTTCCCGTGGGTAATGTTCACACGCCCTGACTGTGGCTTTTCACCAACCGAGAGAGTTTTATCCAGGGATCCCTTATGTTTTGTTACTCAAGCCCCTGTCCTCTGCAAAAAGATTACTTTGAAAATCCAAGCATTTCTTTTGTAAAAAGAACTAGTTTCCCAAGATAAAACACTGAAAAGAGGCTCAAGCAATCATGCCAAGACTACACCTGCTTCAAGGTGTCAGCGATTTTACTGCTTTAAAGCCCAGAAATTGTTGTGAAATATATACTCCCATAACCAGGGCAGGTAAGTTCCAGTGTAAAATAAATCATGTGGCAATTTGTCAGAGAAATGGAAATGTGAAGGAGAAGGCCTCTAGGTCCCTCCAAATGACAGATGACCTTCCACTGCTACCGAACACACTTACTGTGAGCATCGCAAACATCAGTTGGCACACGTTGAAGGCGTGTCTCCAGTTGTGGTACAGAACCATTCGATAATTTTTCCTCACTGTCAACAGCCACCTACACAGTGTCTGAAATGGGAAGGGAAAGGTTGTATCAGGCGGTTGGATGTGTCTCCAGTGGGCTGTTATCAAAACGATGCCTTATGTCTGAGTCATCTTCACCACCCAAAGTCCTTCCACAAACCTCCCAGGGTTCTCACGGTAATCCCAGGAGGTGTGCAGGCTGAGTAGTATCATCCTCAAGTTGCATTTGGGAAAGCTGGCTACCATGTTGTCGCAGACAGATCGCCTTGTCAGAACATCTTACCTCATAGTCAATTTTAAATTTCTGTACCATCCCCAGCTCCATGAACATCCGGAGAGCAGCTGTGATCATGGCGTCAACATCAAGAGAGAAGTCATCAAAATGTATGTCATCGATGGCAAGTTCTGACACCAGAGGGACGTTGGCTGCCTACAAAAGAGAAGACAGAAGTCAAGCCAAGTTTACCCGCTTTTCCAAAGCCCTCATCGTGCTCTCTCCTTTCTGGCTTATCAGACGTGCCACATAAATCACACCTGACCTGCACTTACACTCCAATAGAGCTAAACTCTGAGCTGGAAATGTTTTTTGTTTCCGAGCTGCAAATGCCCCAAGCAAATGAAGAGGGTGGGAGGGGGGAAGGGAAGCTATTCTGAAGGAAAAATATACACACTGGATCCAGTCTGCAGAATTTAGAATAAAAGCTGTCTAGTTTACTGAGACTGCAGTCATACAATATATTCTGATGCATATTACAGAGCACTAAATGCAAGAAACATCTGGGCAGCCAGCAGCTGTGAATTTTAAATGCTGCTATTCAGAGGAGGACATGGTATAATACACCCCTTTGCCTTGTTTCTTGTATTCTTATATCCTTGCGTTGTGTATCCTTATTTCCGTTTCTTCTGTCCTTATATATTGTAGCTCCGCACATGCCCTTTGTTACACACGTGTTCTGTATATTCAGAAGGATGGAAAGGATCAGACAGAGCATCTGTGGCACAAAATGTTTTCTTAATAGAATAGCGACGTTTGGAGGATCAGCACCAGCATATGTTTCACCAAAAGAATAAATTTACAGTATCGTTTAGTTTCATTCTACATAAACATCACAGTGTAATTACAATACTGGTCATACATATTCAGGGTTTTCAAAACACTCATGTGAGGCAGCTGTCCATCCGTTGCCCCACACAAACTTAAAGGGAAGAAAAAAATCTTAGGGAACCATTTTCATGCTGATTTCATTTGGTTCACCATATCGTTTGGGCCACTCTTGGTAAGGGAATAATTTCTACCTTTTTAAGCTATCAGGGACATTCTGGATTCATATTCCTAGTCTATTCACTGGGTGTAAATTACTCAAGGAGTTATCTTCACCCTGGGACTAATTTGGCTGAGCAATGAAATCCAACGCTGGTCACTCTAAGCATTCTAGAAACCATATAATCAGTCCTGCCTTCCCAACTCCATGCTCCTCCATAAGAGTTTACATCTCTAGGCTAAAATCAGAACACTGTTTATTCCCCACAACACAGAAGAACAATGAACAAATATATAAATATGGTACCGTATTAACTATATGCACACTGTTGTACGATAGGTATCTGGAAGTTTTTCACCTTGTGTGGCTGAAACTCTGCACCCAATGGACAACTCCCCATTCTCCTCTCCCCTGCAGCCCCTGCGACCACCATTCTCCTTTCTGTTTCTATGAGTCTGATTACTTTAGATATCTCATATAAGGGGAATCAGGTAGTATTTATCTTTTTGTGACTGGCTTATTTCACTTAGCATAATGTCTTCAAGGTTCATTCATGTTGTACCATATGACAGGATTGCCTTCTTTTTAAGGCTGAATAATATTCCGTTGCATGTGTATGCAGCTGACCCTTGAACAACATGGGTTTGGGCTGCATGGGTCCATTTATATGCGGCTTTTTTTCAATAGAGACGACACAGTACTGTAAATGTATTTTCTCTTTCTTATGATTTTCTTAATGTTTTATGTTCTCTAGTTTACTTAATTGTAAGAATTAACAGTACCTAATACATGCAATATACAAAATATGTGCTAATCGACTGTTTATGTTATCAGTAAGGCTTCTGGTCAATAAGGATAATAGTAGTTATGTTTTTGGGGAGTCAAAATTTTACACAGATTTTTGACTGCATGGGGGTTGGCGCCCCTAACCCTCATGTTGTTCAAGGGTCAACTGTAATACATTTTCTTTATCCATTCGTCTGCTTATGGTTTAGTCTCTGTCTTAATCAGCTTATCTGTCAAGCAATCATTTTCATATATCAGAGGTTTCAGAGTCTTAGAGGTTTTCCTTAGCTGTATGGTCATCTTTGATTTTCAGCTTCTGTTTACAAGTCAGGCTCTAATAGTTCCTGTTAAATCTTCGGCAGCCTTCTCTGGAGGGGGAATCTAACTGACCTGTTTCCTTGGGAAAGCCACCAAATGTGGGGTATCTTTAGGACTTTGCTCTTTAGCTACTCAGATTCCCCAGAGAAGACTCTTGAGGGTGGAGCCTGGCTGGGAAGGGGCTTGGGGGAGGAGCCCCAGCACTGGTTTCTAGCCCTTCATTCAGCCTTGTTTGCAGCCTGTAGGCCTACCCTCAAGCTCTGCGCTGGTGTCTCCCTAACCCAAGGAGCAGCTGTTATACGCTCTTAAGCTACACACAGCTCTCAGTGTTTATGAGGTGGAGGCGTGAGACAAAGGATCTGGAGATGTCACTGTTTCTTAGATTCCCCATTTTCCTGGACATAGTCCCACCCTCATCCCTACTTCCAAAGGTACTTAATTAGCCAGTTCTGGAGCTATCTGGGAGGGGCTCTGTGGTATAAATTTGTTTGTCTCTCAGCTTTTCCCACTGCTGGCTTATTTTGGCTTTCTTGGGTTTGATAAATTACTTAATATTTATCCATCTGTTTTCTAGCTTTCAAAATTTTGTTATTATTAAGTTCTCTCCCAATTTCTTTGTTTTTGAGAATTTGTACCCTAAAAAAAAATTTCTTTATGATTTTTTAGTGGGGCCTGAGGCAGGAACAAAAGAAAAAGTCAGTTTACTCTACCATCGTTATCCAAAAATCATTTAAATTGTGTTTTTTAAATGGTGACTTAAATGATCAGCTTGGAGAACTCAGAGGTAAACTGGCCTTTGGTTTTTAGTCCCTTTGTTTCTACGTGCATGGGCCTGGCGGCAACCGTGCACACCCTTTTCTCTTATTCTGTACCCCTGTGTCAATCCTGACCTTGCCTTTTAGGCTGTAACACTCTTAGAGGAGGATGTGGTGTTCCTTTCCCTTAGGGAAACTCCAAAACGACTTTCTACTTCCACCACATGTTTCAAGGGCTTTCTCTCTGCCTAGAATATCTGTGCTCGTGGTAGTTTGTTCACGTTCAAACTCAAATACACCTGGAAAACCACTTCTCAAGAGGGTAGGAGCCCCGTCGCAAAAGACACAAGTGTTTCTGCTCTCAGGAGAAGAGACTGGTCCTGGGTCGGCAGAGGAAGTCCAACCCCCTCCCAGCTGGTTGCCGAGGAGCTTATACGGCAGTGGAGGCCGTGCTGCTCTCCAGGTGGCCCCTGTCTTGTGGATTATTAATAGTGTCGTCTCTGATGCCATTGTAAATCCTCTACCCTTCAAAGGCACTAAATTCACTTAATTATCTTAAAAATTAAAGAATATAGGCATTTTTTCATTATGAAATGTTAATGGAAAGGAAATAAGAACATTAGGTTGAAAAATGTAGGGTGACCTCTGGTTCACCAAGACCCATACTTATTGACCTTGTCTTTTTTCCCCTAGCATGTTGATTGATCCACTGTTAAATCATACCAGCCTATAGATCACCCCAAGCCTTGTCGTAAACCCTTGCTGGCACTTGTAGATGCAGAGAAAGTCCCCAGCCTTTCAGAAATGGCCAGTTTCAGGTATTTTGAGAAGTATGGATAGTTTTCATCCCCATTCCTGGGTTCAAGAGCGGTTTCTGGCGGAAATTATGAAGAATTAAGAGTAGAGTGTGTCCTGAGGAGGTGTGCATGGAGATCTTGTCTGCAAAAGAGTTGGGAAGAGCCTTCTGTTGCCAAATGTCCTTGTTATAGAAACACAAGCTCTGCATATCTTCTGATAAGCAGAGAATGGGATCACGTCTTCCAGACCTATAATTACTCTAGACATAGGATATTAACAAAACAAATCAAAGTCAGTTTCTCCAATTGTCAGTCTTCAACTTTTGTAAATATTTAAAAGGCACCATATCCCTAAATCAAAGAAGAGTGCTACAATCCAAAGTAACTACTGAATTAATAGCCAGGAAATAACACTTGGATAAAAGAACAATTTACTTTACTGCAGCAATAAATGAAAACACAGAATTATGAGTCCTGGAGCTATTTTGAATAATGTTCAAGAAGTGGGACTCTAGCTGGCTGGGAGTACCTGATATCCTTTGACCATGCCTCTTCTTTGTTTGGGTCTTAATAGTTAAGTGGTTATCAAAGGAAGTCATAAAACTGCCTCCTCTAAAATTGAAAAGGTAGCTTTGCAAAGAGGCCATAAAATGTTAAAATATAATCCTGGATCCCCTGACACATGAATATTACGTTTTGTGATGTTCAGAAAATGGGAAGAAACAACAAAGTGGGTGGTGGTCCAGGCCAAGCATTTCAAAGGCAGAATGACTTGTCGCCACCCCAGCCCACTCACTCACGGACTCCTCTGGACAAGAGCAGAAGTTGGGGGCTTTAGGATCCTGGGATTATGGAAGGCAGGGGACTGGGCTGTGGGGATGTGGAAGGGACCGCAACGTTCTTTATTTTGCCACACTGTTATAGCTCTTCCCACGTGCCAGGCACTATTCTGGCACCTTATGCATATCAACTCACTTGCTCCTCACGAGTACCCGAAGAGGTAGGGAGTATTTTTAATCCCATGTTACAGACGAGGCAACTGGAGTAGATGATAGGTAATCTGTTCAAATTTGCACAGTGGTGACTGGCAGAGGCAGATTTGAACCTGGGGCATCACCAGAGACTGGTTCCCAACCACTACACTGCCTCTAAAAATGGGCTGCTGCCAAGCCAAAGGGTCCCTCATCCTTGTTTTATGCAAGCTAACTTGGGTGCACCAGGAGCGGTGTTTGGGACTTAGATCCAGATAATTATCGATCCATTTTTCATGATGAGCAGCCTGGAACCATTTGAGAGGATAATGTTTTGGTCTTACATGAATTCATTTGGGAAGTTTCTAGGTTCACAACTGCCTTTAGAATAGCCCCAGTCATTAGCATTGTTTTGATTAAAGGGAACACAGAATCAGTTCAATACTCCCAAGACCATCCTGAAAAAAATAACTTCTCCTCTGAGGGAGCAGGAGCAGACTTCAGGCAAATGACATTAGCTTCCGACAGGAAAGCAGAGCAT